GGCTGGACGCCCACGTGGCCAACCGTGGTTCCAGCCCTGACCTGGCGGCTTGCTTCCTCACTTTCCCTGTCTCTCTCTCTTTCTCTGGTTGAATTGAAAAGTGACAATAAGTTTTTAAAAAATTATTTAAAAAAGAGAAGAATGAATTTCGGGAGACTTAAAGTACAGCCGTGGTCCGAGGTGCCCCGCTGTCCCGCGGGCTCTATCTCAGGGCCGACGTGGCCCCCTGTCCCGCGGGCTCTATCTCAGGGCCGACGTGGCACCCTGTCCCGCGGGCTCTATCTCAGGGCCGACGTGGCACCCTGTCCCGCGGGCTCTATCTCAGGGCCGACGTGGCACCCTGTCCCGCGGGCTCTATCTCAGGGCGAACACTGCAGAGCGACAAGAGCTGACGGCGCTCCGGCCCACAGACGCGGCCGCAGACGGGTCTTCCCAGGCCCCTGGCCGTAGGAGGCTCCAGGAGGCCGGGCTAGGAGCAGGCGTAGGGCTTTACCTTCTCCTCCGGACACGGCGTGACCCAGCCTCTGCACTGGCCCGTCATGTCGCCGAGGGTGATCTGACTGCCATTGTACATGTAGACACGGCCGTCCTCGCCTCCCATCAGCCCAGAGGTCACGTCCGTTATCCGCAGGGGCGCGGCCGTGAGGATCTCATCTGTAACATGAGGCATGCAGAGGGAGGCCCAGCCACGTGGCCCCAGTGGAGGGCTGCAGCAGGTCTAGCTGGCAGTGGCAGGTGGCTGCGATCCCAGCTGGGCCTGAGGAGCGTGAGCTGGCAAGACCCCTTTAAAATCCCCCTCCTATTCCCTCAGAAAATCTAAGTCGAAGCTCTGGCCGGGCCCAGCCCTGGCGGGTGGTGGTGTCCCGTCCACTGCAGCAGGCCCGGGCACGTGCTGGCCAAGCCCGACAGCCGAGGGCCGGGCAGGGGTCAGGGCGGGACAAGCCCCTGATGGTGCGTCTCTCTCTCTCTCGAATGAAAATTAAAGAAAAATGTATAGAAAAAAAAAAATCCGCCGACAGGCTCCAAGGCCGTGTCCCTTCCTCCTCCCTCCAGGGTCCTGACTGGCCCTCCCGCACGTGACAGGCCTTTACCGCCTGCCTGGATTTCACCCTGCTCCCGTGTCACCATTCAGCGACAACAACCCACATGGACTTCCGTGTCACCTCCTGCCTGACACACGCACTCCTGCTCCTCCGCGCCTATCCGCCCTGACTCGGCCCGCCCTCCTGGCCACTGAGCGTGGAGACCGGCCGGAGCCTGGCCTGGGCCCCCCGGGCTGTGGGCACCTCCTCACCGAGGCCGTCTCCGTCCAGGTCGCTCAGGTGCAGCGCGCCACCGAACCGCGAGAAGCGGCGGTCCCCGCGGAAGGTGCTGAGCAGGGAACGGGCTCCAGCCTGTACATGTGGGTGGTCCCGGCGTGGTGCAGGGTCACGGGGAGGAAGAGCATCTTGGACACGTCGTCTGAAACGAGCCGCAGGGCCAGCTGCCTTCCGACCACAGCCAGGAGCCACGGAGCCCCCGGGACCACCCCACTGCTCGCCGAACCGTGGGGCGCGGCCGCGGTCTCAGGGACCGGCCTCAGTCGCTGATCACATCAGGAGTGGCTCGAGGACTCCCACCAGGTGGACTGCGCCCGCCCACCCCAGACGCCCTCCACCTGCGCTCTTTTCACATCCCATTGCAAGTCCGGCTCTCGCCAGGCCGTGCAGGGTCACCTGCACCCAGGCGCCTTCCCCCACCCGCACTTCACAGTGAGCCGGACCACAGCTCTGTACACTCCTTGGCTCTGGGCCTGGGCCCAGCGCTCCCTGCCTGCAGCAGGCGTGCCCGCCCAGCCCGGCTCCTGTCCACGCCCGCCGCCCACTCCTGCCGGGCCCTCGGGACTTGCCCAGGCGTGTCCCCACCCCGGAGCCATTCCTGAGCTCCCTGGTCTGAGCAGCTGCGGACCCTCTCCAGGCGCGTCCAGCTCCTCCCTGTGCCCACCGGCCAGCGTCCTCCTGCACCAGGCCGTCCACCCCGAGCCACGGGCCTCTGCCCGTCCTCCTGGCCAGCACGCCGGCTCCAAGGTCAATGGGCTAGGGCCTTCCGAACCTCAGTGACTTTCATCTGTCATTTCCAACAACCCCGTCCAATAGGTGCTGTTATGTAACCCCGATTTCACGGATGACTGAAGTCCAGAGAGGTTAAGGAACTCCCCGAGCTACGAAGCCTGCTGTGGTGAAAACATCTTTAAACCCATCTGTCTGGCTCCAGATGCGGGTGACTGTCCCCATAGGACCGTGCAGGGAAGCCACGGAGCCAAGGGAGCAGAGGGCATGGCGTGACCTACCATGGGTCGGGGCGCCCACCAGAAGCACTTGTGTCCGGGCTCCGTCCACCATCACGAGGCCACTGGACAGGGAGGTGCCCAGCTTCGCCATGGCCTGTGGACGCAGGAGCACTGTGAGCCGGGAGGAGCCCCTCTGCCGCGCCCCGGCCCGCGGACGGCTGCCCACCTTGTCTCCGGAGATGGTGAACCGGGGGTGGCGGCTGGGCAGGGAGTAGCCGTACACCCTCCCAAGGCTCTGCTGCTCCCCGTGGCTGTGGAAGGAGAGAGGGGCTCGGCCTAGGATGGAGCCCCTTCAACAAGGTGCGGTGTGGGGTGCAGGACACAAGCCGGCCACCAGTTCGAATCCAGGGGAGGGGCGCACCGTTCCCCCCCCCATGGGTCTCGGCCCGCTCCGTCTCTGCTCCAGGCCTGGAGGATGGGGACACTCCGAGCGTCCCAGCTCCAAGGCTCCCACCCCGGCTTCCCGGCCGACAGCATGTGGGGCCGCCTGTCCCTCCAGATCCCTGGGTGGAAGTCCTCCCCAGCAGCTCAGAGCTGACCATTGGAGACGGGTCCTCAAAGAGTCCAGTCAGTTAATGGGGGCCTGGGGACGGGTCCTGGGGTGGCCTGACCGGTGTCCTTACAAGAAGGGAGATGAGGGCAGGGAGGGTACCATTTGCACACCCAGGACGGGACACCCGAGGCCAGCCCAGGACCCCTGTGACTGGGCAGTCAGAGGCAGCGATGCCCCACATGGGCCTCAGGCCTAGGAGAGACCCTGCCTATGGCCCCAGGGCCTCAGCTCCTCCTGGGAGGATGAGGTGCCTTTCCCTCCTACGGCCGCCCCTCCCCGGTCACAGCTCACCGGCTGGCGTACCTCCAGGTGGGGCTGCCCACGAGCAGTACGGAGCCACCGTCCACACAGGCGCTGTGCAGGGAGTACCCGAACCAGGCGAAGTCCTCCTCGCCCGACACCACCCAGTCGGCGCTCTCCACGCTCAGCACACCTGCGGAGCACACCTGTCCTTACTGCCCGGAGAGCGCACCTGAGGAGCACACCTGCCTCACTGCCCGGAGAGCGCACCTGAGGAGCACACCGCCCTCACTGCCCGGAGAGCGCACCTGAGGAGCACACCGCCCTCACTGCCCGGAGAGCGCAGCGTCACCTGCGTTTTTGCTAGGACTATTTAAAGACGGTGGTTTGAACATCACGCCAGGCACGTGTCGTGTGTGCCCAGAATACAGACAGGAGAATGGAGAAGGCTTGTGGCATGGCCATCCCCACGGGGGGATTTGTCACTTTCTCTGTCTCTGTCCAGTGAGGGCATGCACCTTATGACAAAATAATAATAATAATAATAATAATAATTGCCCAAGGGAGGGTGCGCTGCCTGGGGAGAGAGGAGAGCGGGAGAAAGCACCAGGAAAAGGGTCTTCTCTGTCCCGTTGTCCCTCCTGTCAGGATTTGGGGCGTGCACACACGGGCACCCCACATGTTCTTCAACACGTGGGCTGGGGCTTGAACCACGGGGTCAGCCACGTGGGGTCTGGCTTCTTTGGCCACAAGGCGGTGGGGTCTGCCTAGACCTCTTTCACTTACAGTTTATTTCTGGGGTGCAAGAGGGCACCTCCCCAGGGTCCCCGCTGAGGCCCACCCCTGTCTCTGCTGTGCTGGGGGGAGGTCCAGGTGCACCCACTCTGCCCCGCCTGGCTCCTGTCAACGCCCACGTGTCCCATGCTGCCCCCTGGACGCCGACATCGGAAATGGGTCTCAGCCTCTCACTTCTAGGACTCACGTCTGTAAAGGGAGGAGCTATCTTTTTATTTTTATCTTTTAATTTGCCAGAAGGCACGTGCACTCCGGGGGTAGGGGAGGCACCCCTGGGGTAATGGGCACATTGCAACCCCGTCTCCTCCTCTCCTTCCTTTCAGAAGTTTGAGCACACACATACATGCGCCTGGCGTGTTCTTCAAGCCGTCAGGTCTGAGACTCAAATTACATAGTCCTCCACGTGAGGTCCGCCTACCCAGCAGGGCCCGGGCTGACAGGAGGAAGTCATCTAACAGGTCCCTCTCGGGGGCGCCTTTGCTGTTCAGCTTCAAGGGGCCACTGTCCACGCACAGGCCCTGGGAATACCCTCTAGGTCTGGGGGATGTGGATCTAGAAGTGGGGTCACTTGTATGTTCAGTCCCCATCACTGGCCAGAACAGCCACACACCGCATGCTGGGTCAGCACCGGCAGGGGGCGTGGTGGCCAAGGCGCTGGACTCCCGTATGGCCGACCACAGGCATACGGACACAGGCTAGAAACTCACACTGGAGTGTGTGTGTGTGTGCGTGTGCGCACCCAGAATCCTAGGAGAAAGGAGAAGGGAATGCGGGGTGGCCATCACCCCCAGGAGGGAGCTCTCTCACTTTCCCTCTCTGTCTCTCCAGTGAGCACGCACCCTATGGCAAAAACAAAAACCACGAAAAGAGGCAGGCTAGTGGACATGGACCAGGTGGGACAGCAGCAGGGCCCTACTGCAGACGCTCGGCGGGCTCTCGGGCAGGGCCCTCTGGAACGAGTCTCCTCCAGGGTGGGACGAGACAGAGGACGCCCTTACAGAACGAGGCAGTCCCAGCAATAGCCGTAGGTGTTATGGCTGCGTTCAGGGGAAGGGGGTCTGGTGTCTGTGACCAGCCCTGGGAAAGGGACTCCGGCTGGGCTGGCCTCTGGGGAGGGAGGGGTGGACACGGGAGGCAGGGGCAGGTCAGAGGGCAGCCGCGCCATCCAGACCTCCACTGGGGCCTCGTACTCCCAGCCCGACCCTAAGGTTGCTGGGAAATGCTGGCAGGAGGACGCGGACCGAAGAGGGGTCATGAGCCGCGGGCAGGAGCAGGCCAGCACGGATCCACACCCCAGAGCTACCTTTGTCATCACGGTGGGGGCCGGAGTGAAAGGCGGCCACGACGCCTTTCTGCCTCCCTCCGCCCGGTGCGAAGGGGGAACCGACCACCAGGTCGGGCGCGCCGTCCCCGCTCACGTCGGCAGCCAGGAGCGTCCAGCCCGCGGTACAGTGGGCGGCCTTTGGGGAGACGGGAGCCGGTCAGCAGCCTGGCCACCAGGGGGCTGCCCTGGCTAGGGGTGAGCATACCTGGCAGGAGACGGTGATGTTGGGAGAGGGCGACAGTCCTTGCGGGGAGCCCAGGTAGACGTACACCGCGCCCTGGACGGGGAGCGGCAGGCCGTGAGGCTCATGGCGGCCCAAGAACCGGGCAGCAGCGAGCCCGAGGGCCGGCGGGAAGGACAGCGGCACGCCGCGGCCGGGAGCTCACGACTGCAGAGCCCCAGCACTGTGGGAGAGCCGGTGTGGCCATCAGTGTCAGGGCGCCCAGCGGGGCCCACGTGGCCTTCCTGTGGCCCAGGGTCTGCTGGAACCAGACCTCAGGTGAGTGTGCAGGCGGGCCCTCCGCTCCCCAGGCCGGGCGGGAGCTCTGGCTGTCCCAGGAAGCTCTCCCGCCGGCCTATCATGCCGCAGCCTGACACTGCACGGGTCCCTAGCTTGGGGACACACCAGCGCCTGCCTTAAGCTCAGACCCGCCTGCACTGCTGTCTGTCCCACTGCTGTGAGCCCGACGGCGCCATGAGGGCCGGGTCTGCCAGAGCTGCGGAGAGGCGACCCACAGTGCCCTGTGCAGGGCTGGGCTAGGGCAGTGAGGCTCCGGCTCCCCAGGGCTCAGGTGGCACTTTGTGCTGAGAGTGGCGTGTCCCTCCAGAGGAGAGGGAGAGGGCTTCTCAGATGGAGGTCCCATGGGGGAGCACGCTGGGGCTCAGAAGTGGCCAGGACTGAGCCCACAGAGGGCGGGGGCCACAGGGCCTCGGAGCACGGGTCACGCCCCACCCAGCCCTGCCGGAGGTGTGCAGGAGAGCCCTGTGGGCAGCCCTGGGTGAGACGACAGCCCCGGGACCCCGGGGCTCGAGGCCACTTGCCCGAGTCCCCGCAGGCCCCCCAGCACTGCCTCCCTCGGCCTCCACCCCCGCCGCCCCCGCAGCCTTACCGTGTACGTGAGCTGCTCGGAGCCCACCGAGGGCGCTCCCACCGCCAGGTCAGGCGCGCCGTCCTGGTTAAAGTCCAGCACGGCCACGGCCGAGCCGAAGCGACCTGAGGGCTGAGGGGGTGCCAGTCACGGCGCCGGCCCGGCCCGGCCTGGAGCACCCAAGAGGCCGGGTGGGTGGGGAGGAGCTGAGAGGCTGGGACCCCACCGCGGCCGAGCCCCAGCCACGGTGACCCGGGACTCGTCTGCAACATGCCGGGCGGGCAGCCCTGCCCTCGCACAGCTGGCACACCCGTCTGCCTCATCAGGTGCTCTCGGGGGCAGAGAGCAGCCCGAGCGGTCCCCACCTCCCATCAAGCCTACACTCGGCTTTGAACCTGTCCAGACAGGGACCACACGAACCAGCCAGAGCAGCGAGCGCTCGTTCGGTCCCCGGATGTCCCAGAACCTCTGCCAAGGCCTTGGCCCCGGCCAAGTATGGCTAGTCTGTTTCTATGTAAAGTAATTCATGCTGGGACCGGCAGATGGCGGAATGGTTACATCACCGGGCTCCCCGTTGTTGCCAGTGGTTTGAGTCCCGGATCCAGCCACTTGAAAGTCAGGCCAGGCACATGTGTATGCAGGCCCAACATTTCCAGAGGAGAGTGGAGGAGAGGGGATTGCAGAGTGGTCACCTCCCCCAGCAGGGCAATTTCTTGCTTTCTGTCTCCCTGGTGAACGCACGTGCCCTGTATCAAAAATCTCTCAAAAAATACTCACATAAATAAAATAGTAATTCATGTTAACTTACACCATGAGGTGTCCCTCCTGAGCACTCAGTCCACACGGATTCCCTCCACCACAGGCGTGCACTATGCTCAGAGGCCCGCACTCAGGTGGTGTGAGGACCCCGGGCCGCAGGACGGCCTTGGCCACAGCCCCGGGACGGTGCCCGGGGGACAGCACACCAGCCCTCCAGGGACCGGGGGACAGCCTCCCACTGCCTCAGTTTACAGACGGAAAACAGGCTGTTCAGAGTTTGTTTCCCTGCAGGAGGATTTTCTAGATCCTTCCTCTCCTCCTGGCAGGAAGCAGCCCAGCCCTAAGCACCCTTCGGCTCCTCCTCTGTCCCAAGACGGGACGATGCCGCTCCCTCGCGCCCACCCTGCAGTCCCGATTATCTGTTGTCTAATCTCCCCGCCCTGCGCACTGGCACCCGGGACATGCCCTTCCTCAGGACGTGAACTGCCCTGGCAGGGTGGGGACCGGGCCTCGGCCCTGCCTTCTGAGGGTGGTTGACCTTGTCACCACCAGCAGCGCCAGCGAGCCCCTGGGTGGAAGGTCGGCCAGTCGGTCCCACACAAGATTCCAGAGCCCACACCTCCTGGAGATGGGGGTCCAGACGCTCTGTGCAGACACGGAGAGGTCCCCCATCTCCGGTCCAGGCCCTCTGTCCATCCTCCACATTGTCCCAGGTGCCTCGGGGCAGAGGGCATGCAGCCTGCTGCTCTGCCCACCTGGTCTCCGAGTTTACCATCCCAGGGTCAGCGGCCTCTTACTCTGGGCTGAACCACAGCCCTGCCAGGGGATGCTTGTGACGCAGCAGGAGCAGTGGGTAGTTTATCTGGACCTTCTTGTGTGCTGGCACGAGGTCCAGAACACGCCATCCCTCCGGGACCATGACTATACGCTGACCAGGCCGCTCATGTACACGGCTTGGTTCAGGCCTCCTTTCACCAGAGCCTGAAGGAGATCCCAGCGGCCGGGTTTCCTGTGAGTGCGCTCAGGTGGCTGGTCTCTCCCCAGCATCGGTTCACAGAGAAGGCTAGGTGCTTGCCCAGACAGGACCCGACTGACCCCAGGTCCAGGGCGCCTTCTGCAGGAGCACGTGGTGCCGGGCCGTGCCACCCAAGGCCCACACCCTGTGTGGCTGGGCGTGGGGGCGGGCTCTGTTCATCGCCACACGAAGGACACTGGCCCAACTCTGGAAGCCCTGCAGGCCCCTGGCACCGCCGGAGCAGTGAGCCTTGGCCCCAGAGGACAGAGAGCAGCCTGGCGGGCTTGTCCTGGTGATGAGCCACCATTTAGAACCAAGGCATGCAACCCGAGCCCCGTGGGGAGCCGGGTGCTGGAGCCGTCCCCCCCGTTTCCCACTCGTCACGGCCCACTGCCGCAAGGTGTCAAGGCGGAGGAAACGGGTGGGCGTGGAGGGTGCCTGCCCGTCTTTGAGGCGTTCCTGTGGGTCTAAAATCACTAGTGGTGAGACGCTCATGTGACAACAATGACAGATGGCCTCGTGTCATCGGGGACCCCAGCCCAGTGGCCACTCCGAGCCCTCTGAACAGCACCCGTGCCTGGGGAGGGGTCGGACTCGGCGCTCAGGGAGGAGGACGGGAAAGCGCTTTCAGGGCACCTGGACTGCGCAGCGTGGCCCCAGCACGTCCCTGTGGTTGTCGTTGGTGCCGGGAGGTGGCCGTGGCCGTGGCCTCCCAGCCCGGAAGGGAAAACGAGAGCTGGGCTCACCTGCAAGCCCTCCAGGATGGAGTCGGCCTCCCTGTCCAGGTCCAGGTCGACCGGCGGCAGGCCCAGGTCGTTGCCATGCAGGAGGTACACGCGCCCCACCTGCACGTGGCCGGGCCGGCTGTAGCCCGGTGCGCCCACCACGAGGTCACCGTACCCGTCCTGGTTGAGGTCGGCCGAGGTCATCGCCCTGCGGAAAGAGCAGAAACCCATGGCCTTGCCCCGAGCGTGCTGGGCAAGCCTCTCCTGCCTCTCGCTTCTGCAGGACCCGAAGCTTTAACTCCCGCCGAGTCTTCCTGCTCGATTGCCCGGATGTGCTTCTCCTCACTCTCCAAGGGGGACAGCAGGACAACGCGGGCCAGTCACGGCCCCGGGCACCCCTGACCGCACAACCTGAGCCTCGCATCCTTCCTGTGAGCCTGGGGCCGCCTCCACACAGCCAGGGCTCCCCGCCCCCGAGCAGCAGTCCCCACCCACTCTGTTCAGCGCCTTCAGTTCTCTGCTGCAGGGCAAGCTGGGTCAGCCCCCACCACGGCACAGGGCGCGTGTGGCTCTAAACACACCCAGCGAGCCGTGAGACCCACAGGGCCTCAGGACAGCCCAGGCTCGGGGCCCAGGGTGTGGGCCCAGTCAGCGCCCGTCATGTGTAGCAGGCATCCCTGAATGAGGTTCCGAGCACGCGTGCGTGCGTGCCCAAAATCCTGAGAGGAGACTGGAGAAGGGATTGTGGCGTGGCCATCCCCTGGAGGGTGATTTCTCGCTTTCTGTCTCTCTGTCTCTGTCTCCTGGCAAGCACACATGCCCTATAGCAAAAATCTCTCTTAAAATAAATAAATAAATGAATAGAATCCAAAGGATCCCTGTTCGTTGTTTCTCATGCTGAGCCAGGATTTTCCCTCAGGCGGTCGCAGGACTCGGTCACCGCCACCACCCTCTGCCTACCTGATGTCGTCAGAGTGCAAAACCCAAACCAACCAAAGCCCCTCCTGGCAGCCCAGTCCCGGACGCCAGAGCTGGACAAGTGCCCTGTGAAGTGCTGCTTCGTAGCTGCGGGGACTTAGAGCGAAACTCCCTGCGTTGGGACCCCCTCGCCTGTGGAAGCCAGACCAGTCATCCCCACGACGGCTCTGCCCGAGAGCACCCTGCAGGCCACCAGCTGTGGGGACGCAGACGCCCAGCACCACTGGCCTCGTCTGCGGAGTGGCCGGTCGGAATCCGAACCAAGACACTGGAGCTCGATGACCCGGTACGTACCAGCCGAGCCTCGCATAGGGCGTGGCCGAGAAGTACGAGGCCGCGGCGCTGGACACGTGCTTCCGCGGCTCCCGGGAGCCACCCGGGAACATGGCCTGGATGTTCCTCCCCAGAGCCTGGTACAGGAAGGATATGGAGTCCTGCAGGGAGAGCTCAGACTCAGGGCCACGTGCAGTCGGCACCGCGGCCCCTTCTCGGCCAGAGGCTTGCACGTCCTGATGGGAACGAGTTTGCAGGTGCGCTACGGGGACTCCGGGGACTCCTGCCAGCCCGCCAGAGGGAAAGGCCGCCCTGTGCCGAGGGAGGCGGAGCTATGGCCCAGAGGTCAGGACAGAGTTAGGGGACTGATCCCAACCACCTGGGCCGGAGGGTCCGCCCTGATTTACGGGATCTGATGGACACAGATTTTCTCTCAGGGTGCATGTGCTTGCTGGAAACAGAGAGAGGGAGTGAGAGTCACCCCGCAGGGGACAGTGGCCGCACTGCAATCCCTCCTCCTCCGTTCTCCTCCTGGGATTGTGGGCACACATGCACACGTGTCCAGCATGACTGTCAAGCTGCCAGGTCCCAGGGCTCAGGTCGTGGTCGGCCATATGAGAATCTGGTGCCAGAACCACCATGCCACCTGCTGGCTCCTGGACTAGAGGTTTTTAAAGACAAGTCCCTTTGGCCTAGAAGTATAATTATAGTATTTTTAATTGCCAGAGGGTGGATGCGCTTGTCAGAGAGACAGACAGGGAGAAAGCACCCCCCGGTGAGCATGGCCACTGCAGCCCCTGTGCCTCCGTTTCCCGCCCCGCTGGGGTCTGGGGTGTGCAACACCTATCTAGTGTGGTCTGAAGCCCCTCCAGGGCAGGACCTGAACCGAGTCACATCGCCCTGGTTCCCTTAACACCCAGACTATGAGGCAGCGCATGTTTTCTCAAGCAAATGGATCAGACCATTCAGAAGCCAACAGTACCCTGCACCCACGCCCAGATGCGGCGTGTTGAGGGGGCACAGGGTCCTGAAGGCCCCCGGCCTGCCGAGCATCAAAGCCCCGGACAGCTCAGGACGGGGGTGCTGGGTGGGGGCTCTGAGGGCAGGCCGGGCCCCTGCTCTTCCCCGGCCCTGGTCTGCACACCCCCCACGAGGCACTACCCTGGCTCCTGCTGTGTGCCAGGCGCTATGGCAGGTGTGGGGGAGACGAAGCCCCTCCCACGCCACCCACTTATCATGAGGGGACAAACCCAGCGTTGTGATCTGGGGCTGGCAGTGTCACTCAGGGCCGGTGTGAGGTGAAGATGCAGAGCCCCTTGTTCAGGAATCGAAGGGCAGGCCCTGCAGCCTAGTGGTTAAGGCAGCCAGACCCCACGTGGCCAACCAAGAGCGTCAAACCCTGGCCCCCACAGCTTAGACGATGCTGGGCATGTGCGCAGAACCACTCCTGGACCCGGGGCACCCTGGGCTCCACCCAACTTGCCAGAGACCTATGAGGTCCAGACTGTGGTCCCAGGGTGACTCCAGAATACGCTACACTTGGAGGCCACGGGTGTGACTGCCTGGTGTGAGCCCAGGTGACTTGCCTGGGAATCAGACACCAGTGACGGCCAGGCAGGGCGCCTCGAGCTGCCAGGGACCCCCAGGAAGAGGGGGAAGGTGCTCACGGGGCCCAGGGACCCCCAGGAAGAGGGGAAGGGGCTCATGGGGCCCAGGGACCCCCAGGAAGAGGGGGAAGTGCTCACAGGGCCCAGGGACCCCCAGGAAGAGGGGAAGGGGCTCATGGGGCCCAGGGACCCCCTGGAAGAGGGGAAGGTGCTCACGGGGCCCAGGGACCCCCAGGAAGAGCTGAAGGTGCTCACCGGGGCCCAGGTATCCACGTGGAAGAACACCCCTCTTTCGGTATAGTTGATGTTCCTTTCAGTATCCTTAGTTTGGGATACCGTCAGATTCATGTGAAAACCATTTTTTTGCACTTTTGAGCTGTTGAAAGAGCGGGGCAAGGGTGGTTACAGGTGAGAACGATCAGCCTCTCAAGAGCTGAGCTGAGAATATAGTCTAGTTGATCTGGGGCTGAAAGACCCGAAGGCAGGGGTCTGCTCTGAAGCCTGGAGTACGGAGTGCGCGATCCCACCTGCGGATGGCGCCCTCGACCCCAGAGCCTGCAGCTCGAGGACCGGGCTGGGCACGTGTGCGGCCCAGAACCCCGCAGGAGGGAGGAACGGAAGAGCAGGGCTGTGGAGTGGCCGTTCCCTATGGGCCAGGGGGGCACTCTCTCCCGTCCCTCTCTCTCTGTGGCAAATGAACGCACTCTCTAGCAAAAAAAGGGGGGAAAGGCCCCAATTTTTAATATCTGAAGGTTAGAAGCAACACGTAAAAACCAGAATTTTGGAAAATCTTCATTCTATAAGGTTTTCTCATAAACACTTTCCACGGCTTATAGGCCTGTTCTTATGAAAACGATATTTCCCATAACTCAAAGCCCCGCAGTGGGAGTAAAAGGCTTGACTGCATTCCGAGTTACTGAAAGTGTCATTTAAGATTTCACACTGAAGGTAAAAACACAGGTTTCCAGCAGGTAGGGAGCTGACCCTCGGGCCCAAGGACGTACTTGAAGACATGCTAGAATTAATCACCCACTAGAAATACACGTCCAGGGGCCAGCAGGTAAGACTGGACCCACAGGGAAGGTCAGGGGGCACGGCAGGGCCTCCCCGTGAACACAGGGCGTGCACGCACACCAGGGCTTCCCTGAGACATGAAGCCCTTGTTAGGGGTGTGTGCGTGTGTGTGTGTGTGTGCGTGTGTGTGCGTGTGTCTATCTCTGTCTCTCTCACATGGAGAAATAAACAAACCTCTTAAAAATACATTTTAAATGCAAGCACCTTAGCCTATGAAACAGAAGCTCGGAGGAGCCAGCTTCCAAAATGACTGGAAGTGGGGGGCGGACAGCAGAAATGGGGGTCCAGTGCAGGCGCTGGGGGAGGGTCCGACCACCCAGAGATCGCGCGCCAACACGAGGGGTTCACGTCTACGGAGAATGACCGCACGGCTTTCCCAACTCACGCGCGGCACCGCGGGGGCTCAGGGCCCTCTGTGCAGGCCCGCCTTCCCCGGTGCTAGGACCGTCTTCCCGCGGCCTCTTAGGGCTGCGCCCCCGTGCGAGCACCTGGCCCTCGCCCACCTGAGTCCTGCTGAGCTGCTTCTCGGAAAGCTGTCCAGAGCCTGGGCGAGGACACCCTGGTGCTCCCTGCAGGGGCGGCCCGCATCCCTCCTAGCCCTGAGCCATGTTATTTTAGAAGAATCACTTGTTCAATCTGACTAGAGAGAGGGAAAGTGAGAAAGCAAGCCGCCAGGCCTGGGTCTCGCACCACAGGCGGCCATATGGGAGTCCGGTGCCTCTACCGCCACCCGGGAGCGTCCACGTGGCTCTCCCATTCTACAAAACGGCCGAGCTATGGCTCCCAAGTAGCAGGGACTTGTTCCAGGCTGCCCAGTGTCACCTGTCGGGGCCCAGCCTGGGGTGCTGGCCCCTGAGAGCACCCCTCCCTCCAGCCAGGTGCTCTGGAGCAGCTGTGGGGCCACTTACCCCTGGGTGTGGTTCTGCTGGCTGCCACAGGAGATGAACAGGGGGTTCTCGGGCAGGTCGCAGCCACTGGGGACAGTCCGTGAGTTAGGCACGCCCCCACCTGCTTCCCGAGCACGAGCGCTCCCCCTAACCGGGGCGCACTGCAAACCGCCTCCCGGGGCCGCACGGCCAGCCACACAGGACGTGCTGAGAGCCTGAGTCCTTGCGGGTGAGGGGACAGCTGGCTACTGGCCAAGCCGTGACGGCCTAGGCCGTGGGAGCGCACGTCGGGCTAGTGCCCACGCCGTGACGGCATAGGCAGCTCACGGGCCACCCAGCTAGGCCCTCCCCTCCCCTCTCCTCCCTGTGCGCCGCACTGCAAGCTCTCGGACTAGAGCCTGCAACGGGACCTGCCTCCCGACCGGTCTGGACGTCTCGACTTCATCCCTCTAAAAGATTCTACACTGGGACCTGGTGGCGGCGCATTCGCGTGGGGCAGCCATGCTCACATGGGAAGAGTTCTGGGTTCTCACCCTGAACCCTCCCCGAGTACCCCGGGCCTGCCGAGACTGGGTCTGCCCTGGCGTGAGGCCCCCGTTGCCGTGTCTGTCTCACTGTCTCCCTCCTCCTTCTCTCATGGAATAAACGAATGAATGTGTTTAAACATTCCATGAGTTTGATAACCAAGCAGGGGCTGAGCATACGCGGTTCTCCCTCCCTAGGACAGTGATGGCCACCAGCCAAGGGACGTCAGGTTTGGAGGACGAGGCCCCAGCCTCTCCTCCCTGGGCAGTTAGAAGGGCCGGCGTGAGTTCCTGGGTGTCTGAGTACTGAGAACCTAAGTGACATTGGTGGAGGATGGGGCGGCCAGGCAGGGAGCGAGGTACCAGGGACAAGGTGGGGGAGGCCAGGCAGGGAGCTTGGTACCAGGGACAAGGTGGGGGGTGGCCAGGCAGGGAGCGCGGTACCAGGGACAAGGTGGGGGGTGGCCAGGCAGGGAGCGTGGTACCAGGGACAAGGTGCTGGGGAGGCGGTGGCGCAGGAGGGCAGGTGCCCGGCTCCCGTCTGCAGACCTCCCTGAGTCTGACAGGCTGGCTGTGCCCGTGACGTGGGCTGGCTGACCGGTAGCCTCAGGACCCTGTGGGGCTGCTCGCTCTCACTCTCTCCCAGCCCTCTGTTCTTGGGAGGAGTAAAAGTAGCTTTCAACGGGGAGAAGGGAAGCAAGCGTGCTCACCTGGTTCCGTTCTCCAACATGAAGCTGGTCAGGCGGTAGATGTTGGTGGACCAGAACGCCATGTCGTCCAGACCCCCCAGGAAGTACTCTTGGAACTGCTCCACCAGGAAGGGGGACTTGGAGGAGTACGTGGGGTACAGCTGTGCGGGGAGAGCGCGGGGCAGGTGTGAGCCGGGGTGCGGCGTGCCGTGCGCATGGGACGTGGGGCGCTGAGGCCTACCTTGGACACAGCCAGCACCTCGCCGAACCTGCAACAGAAGGCCGCCGGGACCGTGAGCTGGGCGTCTACGGAGAGCAGAGCGTGTGCAAATAAAACCCTCCCGTGTCCCCGCGGTCACACGGTGGCCTTTGAACACGCAAACTCCACGCGGCCAGCCCCGCTCAGGACACGCACAGCCGGGCAGACTCCCTGGCCTGCACTCACATTTCCAGGAACTGAAGGTGAGAGCAGTCAGCGATCTCGGCCGCGGTGATGACTTCCCGGCCGTACAGGGTCTCGTAGATGCCCAGGAGGTCTTGGGTGGGGATGTACCTGAGGGTGGGGAGGGCAGAACGGCGGGTGTGCACCTGAGGACGCGGGAGACATTGGCCTCCATCCCGAAGCCGACGACAACAGCGGAAGCAGCTCCGTGCGACTCTGGGAGTCGTACATGCCACCAGCAAAGGCCCCTACGTGGACCATTTAGTCCTCCCGACGCCTGGGGGCCAGCTGCTACGTCCCGTTTGACATGAGAGGAAACTGAGGCACGGGCCACTTAGAGGGTGCGCCCAGGGATGAGAGCGAACCGCAGGCAGACGCCAGCGAAGGCCCGGCAGGAGTGGGCAGACAGTGCTGAAGGAGCTTCTGGACCGTGAGCTCAGATCCGAGAGGTAGTTTAAACTACGTCGTTCTTTCGAGGTGAACTATTCTCAGGGATCAGTATTTTATTTTATTCTTTTATTTCATTGCCAGAGGGCACATGTACAAGCCAGAGACAGACAGACAGACAGAGAGGGAGGAAGCAGTCCCAGCGGGCCTGCTCATGCTGCAATCCCTGTCCCCCACTTCTCCCTCCTCTCAGGAGTGTGGACACATGTGCCCACGCACCCAGTCCCCGGGGCTGGGACTGAGACTGTGCAGTTGTCCCCGTGGGTTCTGGCTCCCTTAACCACGAGGCTGTGGGGCAGCCCAGGCCACTGTTAAGAACACCAGAAAAGGCTCCTCAGGCAGGCAGGGCCACGTGGGAGACCCAGGCTCCACCCGTGTCACCCCCTAAAAGCCAGGCTGCCTACAGTCCCAGGGCCGTGGGAGACTGAGGCAGGGTCACCTCCTCAGAGCAAGCCTCTGCCGTACAAAGAGAAAAAGGCTCCCTGCCCCAGCTCTGCCGCTATTACAGAGAACACTGGGGACTGTGAGCCGGGCTTCTGGCCCATAGAGAGTATCTTAGTTGGGGAAAAAAATGAAAGTTTAAAACTAGATTATACTGAACGTTAAGTACCTTAATTCCTTTTTCTTTTTTTTTTTCTTTTTTTTAGTTTGCTATAGGGCACATGTGCTAGCCAGAGACAGAGACAGAGAAACTGAGAGATCACACCCAGAGAGAATGGCCCAGCTGCAATTCCCTCTCCTCCATTCTCTCGGGGTTGGGGGCATGAACGCACACGCTTCCAGCGTGATTTTCAGGCCGCCAGGTCCAGGACTCAAACGACTCAGTCAGACATGTGGGGTCCAGCCGCCTTAACCACCATGCCACCCACTGACCGCTCCTTGTTGGTCTTAATTTCAAAATCCTTACGACGTCTAAGACAAAAATCACAACTAATAAAATCTGATTTTCGTGTATTTATAAGAAAGAAATGACCAAAATGCCTGTTTTTTATTTTACAAGAGCACCAAATGACTTTAATAGCTCAAAGGGTTAGACAAACAAAAAGTAAAAAATATTTTTGTATGTGAATCACTGAGCTAGCGGGAAAGCGGAGATTTTCCAAAGACCAGAAGCAAACAGAGACTGGAAACTCGGGGACGCAAGGCGGCAGGAAGCCAGCTCTGTCCCAGGGAGGCCTGCCAGCCCCGCCACCCAGGGGTCTGGGCAGCTGAAGGAGGGAGCGCTTAGGCACCACCCAGAGCGGCCAGCCCCGAGGGGGCCCTGCAGTTCACCCTCTGCCCAAGTTCAGCTGGAAGTAAGGCAGCACGCAGACAGGGCCACATCTCGGGTGGAGAGAGACGAAGCAGCAGGGCCCTGGCCTGGTAGCCGCGTGAGGCCCCAGCCTGCGTCCTGCCTTCAGCTGTGCGAAGGGCTCTCAGCACCACGTGCCCCCAGCAGCCGGGAAGCCGCCGTAACGGTCACGGCAGAAGCGTGACCAGTGGAGCTGCAGGCGTGTCTGAGAAAGTAGGCTGCAGGGCAGTAAGATAGGAGTCAGGAGGTCACTACAGGGGAGCAGCAGACGGCGTAACGGCTACGTCTCTGGACTCCCATGTAGCTGACTGTGGTTCGAGTCCCAGACCCAGTGACTCAACACTCACACCCGGCGTGTGCGTGTGTGCCCAAGATCCTGATGGGAGAATGGGGGAGAAGGGATTGCAGCATGGCCATCCCCCTTGGGGGGTGATCTCTCCCTTTCTGTAGCTCTTTCTCTGTGTCTCCAGTGAGCATAGGTGCCCTATAGCAAAAATCTCTCTAAAAACAAACATACTCCTTAGTGACCGCTGTAAGCTACCTAGCCTCCGCTAGGGGCCGCTGTACAGCATGTTCATCCTGCTCCCGACTTGTCTATGCCCAAGTCAGACACGTGCTCACAGACACGCTTCTCTCAGCTGCACTTACTATGCAAAGCAGTCAGTTTAATTAAGATCTTCTGAGAAGTAAGACAATGTGGAGAGAAATCCAGCAAAGAGAAAATCCGTAGATCCCAGAGACCGTGTGGGAGGAGGGTGGGAGATGGCAGAGGGTGAGAGGGAGGGAAGCAAGGGGGGAAAAAGAAGCAAAATATATAAGAATCAAGAAGTGGAAAATCATGTGTTGAAGATAACAGGTATGGTCATGTCTACGACCGAGCCCGTGTCCAGTGGATTCTGGGTTCAAGACTCACGTCGTGTGCTGCAGTGACACACAGCGAACGAGTGTAAACTAATAAGGTTTAAAAAGAATCTGTATATGTGTGAAAATGCTTAGACTGTACACTGACAAGTTCGTCTTACTGTATGGAAATAAAAATGTTGTAATAAAAGCAAAACTAAAAGGACAAAAATTAGCAAATTCTGTTTATCAGGATATACAATAAAATAAGTAAAAGGGGCTTACCACAAACTGTAAAAAGACATTTGTAATACATGACAAACTGGTAAAAGATTCTAAACCAGAATATCAAAGCACAAACACATTAAAATGAAAAAAGAAAAAGGGTAAAAAAATGAAAAAGCTGTCCCTTAAAATCAAACACAATGATCAACACAACAGGAGGGGAAAGTTCAACCTCATTAGTAACCTGGCAAATTAGAATTAAAATGTTAATGAGAAGCCGAGTGGATTAGGAAGATTTGATGGTCTGCTAGTACTGAGTCCCGGAGAGCGGAGAGAGCGGAGAGCGAGGCAGAAGCAGGACTATGACCCGAACTGAAGCTGTTGGGCGTATACGCTGGAAGAATGTTGTGAAGAAGTCAAGTTGGGCCTGCTAAGCCCTACAACCCCGATCCACTTCTCGTGTTTCCTTGAGCGAGAGCCACCCTGGTGTGTGCAGATGCATGACAAATGTCCACACGGCAACATGCGTACAGCAAGAACGCCGAAAACCACGCCCACACCAGGTGCATTGGCATGGGGCCCTCATTTTGGTCCATCCATACAATGAAGAAGACTCCAAAACATTTGCGTAGAAACAGAATTAAACTATGAATTCATTTTGGTGCAAAAAATCTCTGAAAATCCATGCATAGATCTGTGATAGCACGTGTTTTCTGTGAATTTCCTAAAGGTCCTTTGTAGTGGTATGATTCTCAAAAACAGCTTGAAGCCAAAAAAAAAAAAAAAGTGCAGAAGACAACATACCTTGTAATTCCATTTATCTAAAGTTAAAAATAGTAATATTTTGCATATGAATACATACGTACATAGTAAAATAAAATGGTTCACAGGACACCCAAAATGGTGCTCATGCCCACTGTGGGAGCAGGTCACATGACCAAGAGGGCAGATGGGGGTTCCCTCGGTACCAGGAAGGCCCCCTTTCTTGGAAGGGGGCGGTGGTAGCTGCCCGGGTGGGCAGGGTGTTACCTTACTCATGTTTTCTTTGTAAGGAGATGTTCTTTTATATGCTTAGGATAATTCACAGTTCCTAAAGGATCTACTAGACTATTCTAATACAAAGTTTTGCTTTTCGAAATTGACACTTGCTGTTCAGTTATGTTTCTAAGGGAAGAGTCAAGGTCCTAGCCACTGTTAACGTAGCATGTGTTTAAATCGTTCTTACCAGTGCCTGGCAAGGTAATTAAAATTGAATTCGAACTGGCTCAGCACGTCTCCTCCTGTGGGGAAGAGGAGCACGTGGGGGGTTAGTGACCAACGCACGAGTCTCTGTGTCCTACTTGTTTGTTTGGAGGTCTCTGCCATAGGCCACATACGTTCCCCAGAGAGAAACAGAGAGGGGAAGTGAGAAATCACCCCCAGGAGGGTGACCGTGCCACAATCCCTTCTCCTTCCTTCTCCTCCTAGGATTTTGGGCATGCCCGCACATGTGCCTGGTGTGATTTTCAAGTCACTGGGCCCGGGACTTGAACGGCAGACAACCATATGGGAGTCCAGTGCCTTAATCGCCACGCCACCTGCTGGCCCCAGCACACATCTTTGAACACAGGTCCTCACAAAGCCGAGTACCCACTCCTCACGTGGCTACGGGACTGCTCGTTGCTGTAGTAACAGTGCGTCTTTCTTTAAGAAAAAGCGACCTTTTACGAAGCTCCTGAAGCGTGTGAATTAAGAACGCATTTGGTTTTGGTTAAGCAAAGGTAAACTATAAGGGTTCGTTTATAAAAACCCCACTCGCCGCCTAGTCTGTATATTGACAGGTAACTTATTACAGAAAAAAATGGGGTTCCCAACTTAAAGCTAAGGTCTTCAGAGAACGCACACGCCCAAGGGGTGATTCATGACAACTGAACTGTCACTACCAGGGGGCAAAATATGGCAAATGAAAAGAAACAGTACCAAAGTCACCGGCCGAGTGCGCCTCAGAGTAGGAGCCATGGAAATCGATCTGAAAAAGAAACAGAACCCTCCAGTGTCCATTGCCCACTGTAGCCCAAACTTTCATGTTTTTCAGGAGAGAGATTTTTGCTATAAGGTGTGTGCACTCGCCAGAGACAGAGACACAGGAAGTGAGACATCACCCTCCAGGGGGGATGGCCACGTTGCTGCAATCCCTTCTCCTCCAGTCTCCTCCCAGGATTTTGGGCACAGACACACGCACACCCAGCATGAGTTTTAAGCCGTGGGGTTTGGGACTTGAACCACGATCAACTATATGGGAGTCCAACAGTGTAACCATGACGCCATCTCCTGGTTCCGCCACTCTTAAGATCCCACGATCAAGACAGCCCTGGGACATGACAGCCTGAGCAGAGGACTACCAGGACACGCAATGGTGGGCCTCAGTTCTCACGCGAACATTTCGTACTTTTAATTAGCTAAAAAAACATCGCCCTGACGGCCGGCCTGTGTAGCCGATGTCTGGTGAGAAGGCTGAGCCCGGACGTTACAGAGCCTCCGCATCCAGGCCTCGCCTCCCCAGACGGCACGCAAGCGACAGACAAACCTTCCGGGAGCTTAGTCACCAGCGGAGGTCACCGCGTCTGGTTTGAGGTATGACATTTTCATACGGCAAATTAGCAAGGAACATGAAGACAACTACAAAAGGACATGCACTGTTTTCAACAGAACCAAGTGGCAGGTGTTCATATCGTTAGGACGCATGGCTTAAATAGAACTGCTCCAAGTACTGTTTGCAGCTCACGCGGGCCATCAGGCCTGCCGCTGTTTTCCCTGCGGTCGGCGTCTGCTCCTGTGTGACCCCGCCCAGCGCAGGCAGTAGGGGAAAAGGAATGGATGGAAGCCGTGGGACTACCTGAAGGCGGTCACGGCGAGAAGCCCTGCTCGCCGGGCCTGCTTGCCGGGTCATCTGAGAACTGCAGCTGCCCTTCCCGTCCCAAGGCTCAGTTTGGACCCTGGCTTCAACAGTGCCTCCTACATGGGAACCAGCAGTTAGCGTAATGGCTATGTCGCTGGACTCCCACGTAGTCGACTGCAGTTCGTGTCCCGGACCCAGTGGCTTAAAACTCACGCCGGGCGCATGTGCGTGCGTGCCCAAGATCCCGAGAGGAGAATGGAGGAGAAGGGATTGCGGCGTGACCATCCTCCCTGGGGGGTGATTTCTCGCTTTCTGTCTCTATGTCTCTCTCTGTCTGTCTGGCAAGCGCACGCGCCCTACAGTGAAAATCTCTCCAAAAAAAAAAAAAAAAAAAAACAGTGCCCCCTACAGTCATTAACCACAGTCGGGACTCACGGCTCCCATGGTCCTCAGGAATCTTTGCTCAACCCCCAGGCTGTGCCAGCTGACGTCGGCCACCATGTGAGAGGTGACTCCGAACAGGAAGGCCACCAGCTTCTCCGTGTCCTGACAACGAAGCCAACAAGTCACATGTGTGCGGGCATTTACAACGGTCGGGGACGGGTTTTAATAACTGCACCTCCGTGGAAGGCGAGGGGCAGGTGCACGGCAGCTCTCTGCAGGGCTTGCCGGGGTGGCCGAAGGGCTCTGGGATTAATCCCCATTGGGACAGAATGGCCAAACGCACCCCCACTTGTTCCCTTAGCTGCCGAGTCTGAACTGTTCCCCACCGTGCCCAAGTCTGTGCCTGGCATGGAAGGGGCGATGGCGGACGGCCCTCGCTGGGGGCGGGTGGGGTCAGCGGGGCTGCAGAGCGGAGCTGGCAGGCTTGTAGCTGGGCTTCCCCGATTCCGGGGCACCTACCTTCTCCCAGGGAAGGGGGTACTTCTCTCGGATGTAATGGATGCTGGCATTAAGGAACGGGGTCCAGTGAGTGCTCTCAGACACCTCATGGAACTTCCCTGGAACAAAAGCAGGACTGTGGAGAGTCCCAGGCGCCTCTCCCAAGCTCCGGCTGTGCTGCCGGGCCCTCCTCCCTGGCCGCTCAAGCCGCCCAGCTCCCTCGGCGGCCAGTCAAAGGAAGCCTCCGAAGCAGAAAGCCAGCTGGCATGGGCAGGCCGGGTTGGCGTGGGCAGGCGTGGGGCCGGCGGCCTGGTGACCCAAGTCCACAGTAAGAGGACGGAGACCCCCACTGGCCCCCAGGCTGGAAGAGGCCAGTTTCCATCTCTGCCCTGAAGCCGGGGCACAATGGGGCTTTGTTCTGTGTTTGGGGCGGTGGTTGTTTTTAACTGCCAGAGGGCGTGTGAGCCTGCCACAGAGAACGCAGAGGGAGGGAGGCACATGGGGGCAGTGGGATGTGGTCACGCCACAGTCCCTTCTCCTCGGCCTTTGTCCCTTCCTTCGGGATTTTGGGCACGCACACACAAGCCCAGCGTGTTTCTCAAGCCATTGGGCCAGCACCAGAACCACACGGCCGGCCACGTGGGCAAACTGGGCCCAGGCCTGCCCCGCAGGGTGTTTAAATACCGGTTTGTCTGCAGTCGGCCTCCCCGAGAGCATGACACACAAGCATGTGTTCTGAAGGCGTTAATAGTAATCTTCAGCACCATCTTAAAGGGCACACACCCCAGTGTGGACTTATTCGAACCTCCTTTGAGTGGGCCTATGGTGTCCACCCAGCCCTCGACGCCCACAGGGGAGGGGAGAAAGACAGGCCTGGTGTCTGTCCCAACCCCTTGGGAAGGTAAAAACTGCCTGACCCAGCCAGCAGGTGGCGTGGTGGTGGGGCACTGGATTTCCACATGGCTGACCATGGTTCAAGTCCCAACCTCGCAGCTTGAAAATCATAGTAAGTAAGTAAATAAATAAATAAGGTACAAGGAAAGGGGGGAAAAGCACTGCCTGACCAGTCCCAGACGGCTGGTTTTCTGAAAGTGAGTTTTAGTGAAGTCAGAACGAATAATTTGGCTTGCTCCCACAGTTTTCCTGCAGACAGAACTTTAGACAGCTCTTGCCCCCCAGAACCAGTGAGAACCCAGTACTGAACTCGGCGCAGCTCTCTGGACCAACCCCCAGCTAGCGGAGCTGCCGGTGGGCCACAGCTCTGTGGCCCCTCTGCAAGTCACGGAGTGCGTGTCACCACCAGACGTGGAAGGCCGAGCTGGGGCCCGAGCGTGCGTGCCCACACCGCCACACTGCAGCTCACCCAGGGCCATTACGGGATTCAGCTGAACATGAGGCACACTGGTAGAACGTGAGCATAAAAACAGAGGCTTTCCTCTAGCAACTAAGTGCTTATAAGGAAGCTAAGTGCTTTCAAAAGATGCAATAAAAAGGTATCATCTGGCCAGCAGTGGCATAGTGGTTAAGGCAGCTGGATCCCATTTGCTCAACTCCATGGTTTGAGTCCCAAATCCGGCAGCCTAGAAAACATGCCGGGTGGGACCAGCAGGTGGCATGGTGGTTGAAGCACTGGACTCCCACAAGCTGACCACGGATCAAGTCCCGGACCTGGCGGCTTGCTTTCTCGCTTTCCCACTCTTTCTCTCTGTCTCAATCTGTCTCTCTCTAGTGAGCACACGTGCCCTAAAGCAAATTAAAATAGAAATATTAATAAATAAAATAAAATAAATGATTTTTTTAAAAAAAGAAGAAAAACATGCTGGGTGCATGTGCATTCTTGCCCAAGCTCTAGACGGGAGAAATGGAGGCTTCAGGGTTGCAGCGTGACCGTCCCCGGGGGGGCCTTATCACCGTCCTCCTCTAATCCTCAGCCTCTCTTCCACTAGGGTGTCGGCACCATTTAGTAGGGTTTTTCGTTTTGGGTTTTTTTTTTTTAAAGTGAATTGACGAAGGACCAAAAGAAAATGACTATTGCATTAGACGCCCACGGAGAAAGGGGGTATCTTTAGGGAGTCTGTACCCGAGTCCCAGCACCGTCCACGCGGCCGCTCCCCAGAGCAGACCAGGGCTGAGGGGAGCGGCCTCACAAGGGCTGCAGGAGCGCTGGGTGGGGGCACAGCCAGCACGAGCAGCTCTGCACCCCCGGCCCTGCAGCATCGCCGTGTGGACAGAACAGGGTGATGGCAGATGACCCCACGACACTGGCATGGCTCAGGGTGCTGAGGGCGTGTGCGGGTCCCTCCAGGTCTCTCTCCGTCCTTCCCTGCCCTGCAGGGTGACACCAAGGCTCGCACTGCCTTCTTGCCCTCTGGTTTGGGTTGGCCGAGTCTGAGTGTGGCCCAGGAGAGAGCTGGCAGGACAGGGGAGAACAGCAAAAGCGAGAGTTCAGCCGCTCACTCTCGCAGCCCCCTTCTGTGGGGACAGGGCAGTGGACTGTGTCCCTCAGGGGAGGCCCCATCCTGCCACGGCCCCCTCCACGCAGCTCCCTTGCCATCACTGGCATCCCAGGTACACCCTGGAAAAGGGTGTAGGTGTGAGCGTGAGCGTGCGTGCTCTGTAGGGTTCCGGCTGGCAGGACACCTGAGAGTCGTGCAGTACTGGGTGGCAACCCAGCGAGGCCACCTTACGGCATGGGAATGGGGCCTCGTGTCAGGGCTTGGCCGACCACAGGCTGCCCGGCAACCAGGAGTGACACGATGCAGACCTTCTCGTCTCTTGCAAAATTTTCTCTCATGCCACAAAGTGGCAGAGCCAGTGAGGACAGTGCCCGCTGGAGTGGTGTGTCCTCAAGGAAAGGCAGGGTGTGCTGGCACCTGGCAGGGCCCTGTGGGCTGGCAGGGCCTCCTGGGAAGGGCGGCAGGGGCTGGCTCCCTCACGAGTAGGTTCCTGCCCTCTCTGGGAGGAAGCAGGTTCTCCCGGGACTGTTCCTGCTGGAGCAGGCGTTGGAAGGCACGCCCGGCGGCCTGCGGGCCTCTCTGCACACGCCTGCTGCCTGTCCACTCCTCCCGCCATGTTGGGACGCAGCCCCAAGCTCTGGGACCTCCCAGCCACTAGGACCGAAGCCCAGTAAATAAACGGCCAGTCTCAGGTACTCTGTTCTACAACACAGACACGGGCTTAGGGACACCTACAGTGGGGCCAGCCAGTGGCATGGTGGTTCAAGCCTGGGCTCCCACATGGCTGCCGAAGGTTCGAACCTGGACCTGGTGGCCTACTCGCTTGCTTCCTCTCTCTCTTTTTATCTCCCCCGTCTGTCTCTCTTTGTGGTGTGTACATGTCCTGAAGCAAAATAAAGTCAATCAGTAAGTAGGACCAGCAGATGGCGTAAAGGCTGTGTCGCTGGACTCCCATGTAGTCGACCGCGGTTCGAATTCCTGGACCTGGCAGCTTGAAACTCACACCGGGCGCATGTGCATGCGTGTCCAAAGTCCTGAGAGTCCTGAGTGGAAAAGGGATTGTGGAGTGGCCATTCCCCCAGGGGATGATTTCTTGTTTTCTATCTCTCTGTCTTTCTCTGTCTCTCTGGCAAGTGCATGTGCCCTATAGCAAAAATCTCTCTTGGAATAAACAAACAAACAAACAAATAAATAAATTATTCTTTAAAAAGCCATGTTTACAATAGAAGTTTTCAGAGTTTCTGTGCTTAAGCAGATACGTTTTGGCTCAGAGGAAAATGCAGCTAGGCGAGCTGCCATTGACGACAGCGGGAAATGCATCGCGCTCGCTGTTCGGAATTCTCGAAGCCCTAGCCACTCCTGTCCCCCGAAGAGCGAAGAGCGACCGCTCGGCCCACACCTCTTACCTCCTTTGCAGATGCTGGGGTAGAAAGCGTCGGGGAACACGGTTCCAGCCTGATACGCGTCCTGGTGTTCTAGGAGTAGCTGGGGAGATGGAGAACGGCCGATGGGGGGGAGGGCGAGGCCAGGTCACCGGCCTCTCTGTCTGCAGCTCCATGGTGACATACGCTAGCGCTAGGGGGTAGAGACGGAAGGAGGGGAGGCGGAGGGAGGGACGGAGGGAGCGGATGGTAAAAATGCACACATGGAGCCAGCAGGTGGCGTGGGGGTTAAGGAGCTGGACTCCCATGTGTCTGACTGGGGTTCGAGTCCCGGCAACTTGCTCTCTCACTCCCCCTTCCCTCTCTCTTTCTCTCTCTAGTGAGCACATGTGCCCTATAACACACTTACAAATGATAACGATAATAATAAATAAAATTTGTAAATGCACACATAATCCAAGACAACACGCTACGAATTGTCCCTTTGGCGCCTTCTTACCCAGCACAGCCAGGCCGGTTCCAAAGTAGCATCTCCGCTCCTTTCCCATGCTCTCTGTCCACCAGGGGGCAGGAGTTCTGTGAGACTATTTCACTGACCCAGGGTTGCTCTGTGCCCATCAGCGATCGCCATGAGAGGCGACCACGCACACGCGCACACGCACACGCGCACATGCACACTGGCTGTCCTGTAGCCAGGCGGCTCCTTATGCTTACGCCCCCAGTGGGGGGTGATTTCTCACTCTCTCTCTCTGTCTCTCTACTCTCTGGTGAGCACACGTGCCCTATAGAAAAAGCTAAAAACACACATACAGGCCGGGCACAAGGGCATGCGTGCCCCAAATTCCAACAGGATGAAGATACGGAAAAGGAATTCCAGGTGAGCACACCCCACTGGAAAATGCTTTCTCCCTGTCTCTGTCTCTCACTGGCGAGTGTACACACCCCTTGGCAGTTAAGATAAATATGAAAAGCAGTCGTCATAACCTGCCCCCACGGCCATGCCAAATACACTGGAAACAAAAGAAAAGAAAAAAGAAGGCGTCTCAGCCACGAAGCAGACCCGGAGAGAACCAGGTGGGGGTTCAGGAAGCAGGCAGGCTGGAACGCCTTCCCACGTGACGCACACCCACGGCTCTGAGCGCTCCGAGGCGCCTGCCCCAGACGCATAACCCTGACAGGAGGTCCTCCTGGGGAACCACCCACGAGAGCAGGTCGATGCGCCGTTGGCAGGGGGGCTGCCCTGCACTTTCAAAAGTGCCAAGGCCATTCCAGACAGCCGGCTGAAGAGC